ATATCGTTTTTCTTTAGACGAATTTCTAGAAAGTTTTTTTCATGAAGATAACATGGCAGAGGTGGGTCAGAAAGTTAAAATAAAAAGTGTTGAATAGTGACCCAGTTTCATTTAGAAAAATGTACTTCCTGTTGTAGAATTCAAGGTGTCGTGGACAGAAGACAATTTAAAAAGCATTTTTTTCTTTTCCTATGAAGAAAAAAAAGCAAAACAAAAAAAACAAAAATGGTTCATTGTCTTTCCAATGGAACGAGTGTAGAAAAAAAAGAAAGTGGGTTCTTGATGTTCTCGAGAAAAACAATTAAAGATTTCTTAACGTTTTCTTTTTTACCTGCGGGCGCAGAAAGAAAGAGAAATTCCAGCTTAATTCTGTCTGATGAAATACGGAAACAAACGTTGAGAAAATGAAAAAAGATTTCTTTCAGCAAGAGCTTACACTGCGAGAATTGAAACGATATCGACGTCAAGATGGAAGTAAAACGAGCTTTTTTCATTTTTTTGTAGTTCAAGTTTGAAATAAGATTTTCCATGTGAGAGAAAAAAAGGGGGAATTTATTATTTGGCAAAGAATTTCCCGCACTGAAAAGAAGCCCATTCATACGAATATTTCAATATTGACTAAATTCTCCAAGTTTTATATAAAAACCCTTTTTCAATAGTGATCTCCAAATCCACAAATTATTTGTTTTCTATAGAACATGAATTTTTTTCAAATCATAATTTGTTGTAAAAAGGAATTCTACCTCTAAACTGCAAACTAACTATAAAAGAATTTTACGACAACGAAAAAATTGGATAATAAAAATAGGTAAAAAAAAGTGGAGAAAAATTTGAAATTGAAAAGAGGAGAGGAAAATAAAAGGGAATTTGCTAATAAATACAATCATCGTTTAAAATTAATTTGCTAAAAAAATGAAGCAAAAGTCGTCTGTCTTTTGGACTTAACGATCGTTAGTCTAAACATGACTTGAATAGTGATGTGCCTTCGAAAATGAAAGCAAGAGAGTTTCTGTCTCTTGGGATTGCAACTCCTTACAATTTTCATCACCCAAAGGCAAACTATGTCGAAAATGACCTGGGATGTGTTATAACGTCACGTAGAAATTAGGAATTAAGAATTCAGACCGCTGGCATCAACTGCATACAATCACAAAAACTTGCCCAACATTCCCCTGAATGTTTGAGACTTTCTTGTATATATACACATTATTATTATTAAAACTAAAATTTTTTTCTAAAAGGTTCCTCCAACTATTTTTAAATTTTCTTTTAAATTGTTTTTAAATAAAAATTAATCAAAATCTAATGAATGTCTTTAATTTTCAAAGTGAATAAAAAAAGGAAATTATTTAATAATATATTATAAAAAATATAAATATAATTTATAATTAATAAAATTAAAAAGTTGTATGTTCTATTCCGCGTCACCCAGGAGGTTGAACATCAGACGTAGTAATATGAGAAGTATTTTTTTTTCGATCTAATAAAAACTTGAAAATTTAGTTTTTTCATTTCAAATTAATTATTAATCCTACAAACCCCAAAAAATTCTACATAATTATATTAAATTAAATTAAATTAATATTGTATATAATAGATATTTTATCGAATAAAAAATTCAACAATATGGAAAAATTAAGAATTTTCAAAAATTTATTATAATTGGAATTGGAAAGACATTCTCTTTCTCTCTCACTCTTATGAAGAAATTAAAAATTTTCAAAAATTTATTAAAAATGGATGAAAACTCGATGCTGTCACTAATTGATAAATAAATAATTAGCAATAATAATAAAATAATGTAATAATTATAATTGAATAATTTAGATAATAAAATTATTATAATTGTAACTATTAATTCAAGTTGTTAATTTCTCTTTATTAAAAACTCGAATATTTATTGAAATTAACTTGAATGCAATAATTATAATATTCTTTTTTAATATCAATAATATGTGAACTTTAATAGGATTAAAAGTTAGTGCTAGCAAGTATATGAATCAAGTGACAGGAGAATTTAAATTGGCATTCTCCAGAGTCTAATTACTATAAAACTTGAAGAGGATAAAATAAAAAATTCTCAAGTGGGAAACATTTGAAATGTTAAATTTTGCTAATTAAGTAATTATTCGCTTTGTGAACAATTTATATTAATAGTGATATTGAGGTTAATTAATTTGTAAGCAGAAAAAAATAGAAGAAATAAAAATGTTTCTAAGAAACCATAAATTTCAATCAAGAAAAAGTGTCTCTCTATTGCGCATTTAAAATCTCCCGAGCCGCAGAATCTCGTTCTGTTAGATATCCAATGGAAATTCAATAATTCAGTGGCAAACAAGTAAATCTTTTCTTTTTCCTTTCTCTCTCTCTCTCTCTTTCTCTTCTTTTCAGTTAGCCAATTTATGTATACAGATCACGTTTTCCTTTTCCATTTTGAGGCATTTCCCTCTATTTCAGTTAAAATATTGTTAGTCGATACACGGGAATGTCTGGCCGATTATTGAGTCATACTACTATTACTGTTACTACTACTCGTCGCTAATAAACTCTTTCTCTTTTTAAATCTTTTAACGGGATATTGTGTTCGTTCTTCAATTTTTAATATTATGTTCCTCTAAATAATTACCTATAACGAGTTTATTTTAATTTTTCAGGAATTAATTTAACACCCTTCATCACATTTATATGACGTTCTACTTTTGTTTTTCTATATTCAGAAACGTTCTGTCTGGCCACTTATTGACTCGTTCTACTTTATACATGTGCTCATATTATATCTTTATAATTTTATTAAATTTCGTGTTTATTTTCTAATTAGGAAAAGTTTATTTTTACTTTTTGAAATTGGTTATTGGTTTTCTTAAAAATTTATAAAAAAATATTAATGTTCGTTTTTAAACATTTCTCCAATTATTTTTATTTAACTTTAAACACTAGAAGTTATTATTAATTATTATTAATGTAATGTTATTAACTTCAACATTTAATTAATTTGAAAACCGAGTGATATAGAATCATTATTATTATTATTAATATTTAAAAAAATTGTTCTATTGGATATTTTTCCCGAAATATTTATATTTAATGTAAAGGGGAAAGTAAAATTTTTTATTCGGATATAAATATTCGTAACACAATTTTTATCTACTATTGCAGCTATACTACGCGGTGAGTCGAAAACACTTTTCAAGGGATTTATATAGGTAGTTCGGGATTATGTGTAAAATATTCACTTGCAGTTTCATATATAAATTCTAATACATAATAGAGGATGGTAAAAAATAACTCATCTTTGACACTCACTATAAAAATGTCCAGAATATAGTCACACCCCATTGTCCATGTCAAGTGGTTGGGATAAAATATTTCTTAAGATAAATGTACTTCCCTCGACCCTTTGACCAAGAAAAAGTATTTTCTTTATTCGCCAGCTCAATATAAACATATTTTACCTCTCTCGTGTCCTATAAATATTGCCGAAAATTAAAAATTTACCAATTCACCGACTACACGTATAGACCGACGAACGCTAAAAATTTATATATTTTTATTGCAAAAATAAATGACATGACGTACGTTAATAATTAAACTAGAAATACTGGAAAATCATTCTTCACATATAGTATAATTCTATTGCAACGCTTTTGTCTCAATTTGATATGCTTATATTTAAGAGTGATGTTTAAGAGATCGTTAAAAAGGAGTTTTTTCTCCCTCATTATCAAAAAAGGAAAGTGTTGGAATGGATTAAAATGAAATTGATTATATATGTGAAAGGGCAAAATTGTTATTCGATTCGCGTATGATGAAAGTTTAATGACTTACAAAGAGATATTAAATCGAGCGGAGTTTATATAGTTGTTGACAGTTAAAAAGAGTTGCTTCTACACAAAGACAATTCCTACGATAGGAATGAGTTGCGAGCGACTTGGATGTAGTTACATAAACTTTACGATGTCAATTTTCTTAAAGGCACCACGTCCTTATTGAGGAAAATTACTTGACTCGTTTATTGAATCTCTCAAGTCCAGAGGTTCTTTGCCCGAGGTTTCCAACTTCAGCAACTCTATTTATCGTATAACAATTTTCTCCGAATGAACCGAAATGTCGCACAACTTTTCACTAAACTTCCGCCAACACTGTCAATTCATTTCCAAGGCAATACATCTTTAGTTTCACCATCCCCCTTTTTTTGGAAATTTCATCAATTTATTATTATTTTTATTAATACTTTACTAACATATATAAGTACTTATTTGCATATAATATGGAATTTTCAGAAACCACAAAAAAACTTGTTATTTGGAAAATGTTTTCCCAAGGCTAGAAATATCATTTCATTATTCACTTTAATGCATGATGGGAAGATTTCAAAATGGTTCAAGTTGCTTCTTCATTTTCCCCTCAATTCCCAAAAGTCGTCTCACCTCGGGGTATAGAGTACACTTTTCGTATTGGAAGCGAGCGAGAGAGAGAGAGAGAGAGAGAGTGAAAGAGAAAGGAAAAAAAGACGTTAGTCACAAAAAGTGACTCGAATGGGAAATAATGTAAATCACGTTCTTTCTCTTATTCTCTTTTTTCGGATAAAGGAGAACAAAAAAATTGGAAAAAAAGAATTTGTTCCACTCTCTGGAAATGTTGGTGCAAAAAAGAGAAATTTGGATATAGAAACAATTTTCGTTATACACAAAATCAATTAAAGATTTTTATTCTAAAAATATGACGTGTGTCTGATTACAAAATTTAGACGAGGCGGAAAAATAAAAGTAAATAAAGTTAAAAAATAACGATTTTTAAAAGAAAACATAATATACTAAATTCGAATAATTACGTACAAGTTTACAACTTTTGCGATACAAAGTTTATCACTAAAGTAAAAAAATGTATTGTTTCGAACAATTAAAACACGATAAATAATGACAAAATTCTAATTATTTATTAACTTGATTTAAATTTCTCACTCTAATATTGTGTTTGTTTTCTTTTTTTTTTTGTTGCAGGAACTTACTTTATATTGTACGATTTTATCGACTTTTTCGAGAAGGATCAAGCCAGTCCACTGGATAGAACCAAGTTCCTCAACATCATGAACACGATCTTCAAGAATATGTCGCAAATTGAACGCGATGCTATCACATTCCAGGTGAGTTTCGATAAATCCCTGCGTGATTTCATTTATTCCATTCCTCCAATATATTTTTCTTTTTCTTCTTATAAATTAATTTATCGATAAATATTTAAAAGCACTTTTTATTTAGATACTACTTTCAAATAATATTCTCAACTTGATAACTAAAAAGAATGTTGAACAATTTCTCGTTTTGTGAAACTATTAAATTCTCCATTCCTGAGGTATTAAATTTTTTCGGAAAAGCTCTCTCGGAGACTTGGAGAATTGAAAAATATGGAAAATCTCATGACTCGGGCGGATTACTCTTAGCATAAGAAAAACAAACAGTCCAAGTGGATTTTCCGAGCATTTCATCCAAAACTGAATGTTTCGGATATACACTATCGTGTTTGTCTTATAAATATTTATATTTACCGGGGGCTTTAGCACTCGTGCGATTTAGGAACGTTTTCATAACGTGCAACAAAAAAAGAGAAAGAAACAAATTTTATACTCACCGAGAGAGAGAGAGAGAGAGAGAGAGAGAGAGAGAGAGAGAGAGATAGAGAGAAGTTCAATTACTTTCAATTACCGATTTTTCATTGCTTTTCGTTATTTCGAATTTGTTTATTTGTCGCGCATGTAACAATTTAAATCGAAAAAAAATAAAAATATTTATATTCTTGCATATACGAATGCAGATCATGCATGTTGTTGACCAAAAACAATTTTAGTAAAAATAGTGTAAATAAAAAACAGTAAACAAATAAACGTGAAATAATTAAAACAAACAAAAATATATGAATTTAAAATTTCAAAAAGTACACTGAGAAAACTGGAGTGTCAAATTCGGAGGTTCAAAAAGTGTATGTTTCCTTTGCTTATGAAGAGAGTTAAATAGTCCTTCTAAAATAAATTTTGAATTGATAATGGAAATCTACTTGTATATTCTCTCCCATTATATCTGAGGGTTAAAAGTTGCGCAGAAAATGTGTACGATATGAGGCGCGCGAAATTATTTTTCTGACATTTTATGTATTTAATTTAGGGGTTAGGTTGCCATATTTATTCATTTCGCGCCGGATAAGGAAGGGATTTCTCAAGATGGTTAATTTGTCCCTCTGTTATAAACTCATTTTCCATCCAAGAGAAATGGCACGAATATCTGTCAATGGTGTATTTGAACATTTAGATTGTTATCCAATAGCTAACTCTCAAATATCAACGATTTGTCACTCCAGATGTTTAGTCCAACACTCCAGTTTTCTCAGTGTAGATGAATTTATAGATTAAATCTGAGAGAAAAAATTAGGAATCAGAACCAAAACTAAAAATTAATTTCAATGAAAGGTAATTTTTTATTTTTTTCACCATCAGATATCAATAAAATATTAAAATCCAAACATAGTTTTGAAAAAGGAAACAGAATTTCTTCAGGAAGTTTTCATGCTCGAAAAAAATGGGCGACTTCAGAAAAAACAAAAAAGGGATAGAAACCCACAGTCAAGGTATAGATCGCACCTAGATGAAATTCAATCGATGCATTCGACTGATTGAAATGGGGGGTGAACAGGAAAATTGGAAAGTTAACTCGGAACACTGGAGAATTTGCATGAGAGGATTCGTCAGCCCCTCTCTCTCTCTCTCTTTCTCTATGTATATATATATTCTAGAAAAAGAAAAACTTTCGGTTCGTTTCAGAGTAGGATGAATAAATAGTATAAGGTAGAGGTCCCAAAGGCCTTTTGAATTCGGAATGTGTCTATAGAGGAAAAAATTATCCAACTTTAAATCACGCTTTTTTCCAACCCCTGTTTTTCTTTTTTACTTTTCTTTTTCATTTCCCAGTTGTGGAAGAAATTAACGTTTAATTCTAAACCGAGCGCAGATGAAGAAAAAAAATTGCCCTTCATCAACGATTAAAAATTATTTATCGCTCCTTTTGCCACTATAAATTTCGGTTCAATCGGTTAATTAAATAAATAATAAAATCTTCTTTTGATCCATTGCGATAAATTTGATATTGTTTACACGGCACGGAAAAGAAAAAAATTGTAACATGTAGAAGGTAGTGGTAGAACTAAAGCAAAGCAGGGGAAAGAGAGTGCTTCTATTATTATTGGTTCGTGTCTGCTTTGGCCTCGGGCGGGAAGAAAGGAGAAAGGAGAGAGGAGATAAAATACGAGGCAGATACTGGAAAGAAGAGCAGGTAATTGCCTAGTGGATGTGTCTCTCCCCTCTTTACGTCTTTTTTCCACTTTTTTCTATCATCTCAGAGAGAGAGGAACAAATTCTCCCTTTTTTCATCTTCCGTTTTTCTTTCACAAATCTCTCTAAAGCTTCAACTAATTTTATCAATTTCATTTCTTAAAACTCGTCTAATTATTTTTCTCCATTATCTCAGAGAGGAAAATAAAAAATAATTATTTCGTTTGCACTGCAATGATACAATTAATTTGACAGAATCTGTACTTGTTAACATTTTATTGAAGGCAGAATTATTTTAGTCTTATTTTCACTTAGTTTGAATAAAAATTCTATTAATTGAAAATTCTATAGAATTGATTACTTGAAAAATTCTGTAAAGTAAAAATTCAAGTTAATTTTAATTCGATGAAATAAAAATTCTCTAAAATGAAAATTTAATTTGAAAAATCTAGTCTTAAAAGTAAAAAAAAAATTGCATCGAAATGACTGTCGCTATTTTTTCACATATTTTACTCCGCACAAAACAAATGGTTTATTTTTTCATTTTTCCCACGTAAATATAAAATAAAATAAAAAACTGGGTCCTTTCTATCTTCTTTAAGTTCAAGGTTCACGGAAATTAAATTGTTCACGACAGGAAGGTAAAATTTATCACCGACCACTACAGTGGACTTCCGGTGAACGTAAATCTCAGCCCTTTTCCAATGTCGAATTCATTTCTTTCCATGTGGAAAAATACGAGAATTGTATTGAAAAAAGTGCGGTCAACTTTTATCGGCTTATCACTGTTCCCTAAGCAGTTTTCGACCTCTGAACCTGTAATTCCATCCTTTCTTTATAGGTATTTTCTTTTTGGACCACCTGTGGGTTTTTGTATTTTGTCCGAGAGACGATGAATATTTCTTTTTTCAAATTGCTTTCTTCAAAATCGTTTATTAGAATTTGTTTTTCTTTATCAGTTCGGATATTGTATGTATTATTTTTAATTCTTAACAAATAGTCAGTGACCTAATGGGTTAATTAATGGGTTATTTTGTCTTTTATAAATCAACTTTTATTTACTTTCAATTAAAAGTGCAAGGATCATCTAACAGTTAGTCGGTGTTAAATGAAAGCAAAAATGTTTGTTAGTTTGAATTTCCAAGCTTGTGACGAAAAAAAGTTGAAAACTTTTTTTTAGACTAAACTATCTCGAATGCACCTCTATTACTTTGACTTCATTTAAAAAGTGTCAAGGCAAATATTTTTTTTTGCCTGCAAAAGTCAATGTTTATTTATGTCAATATGAAATCATTCGCTTTGACGCTCTCATACATTTATATTTTTTCCTCTCATTCCCTTTGAAAATTCATTGCGATTCGCCGTCAGGCTCTCTCTTTATTTTCATCCGCATATTTTTCCTCTCTTTTTCCTTTAATCTGCAACCTTCCCCCCCCTATTTCCGACTATTTTCAAATAAACACACACACACAGGCACTTTTTAATGAAACCGGGCGTTTCATCTTATTTTTCTAAATCATATGGAATCCCTCGAGGCAAATCAGTGCTTTGATCCCGCGTACACAGCGAGAGCAATGCTCATAACCTCTTGGAATCATTTTGTCCCGGGTCATCAAAAGAGTTACTATTTTCTCTTCTTTTATCATCTCGATATTCGTTATTCGTATACACAATTTCACCTTTGACTCATTTTTCGATTTTTCGGAATCGAACAAATGTTTTTTGAATAATTAAAAAAAGACATCTCTTGAGGCATTTACAGATTCTCATACTGGAAATATTCACTTCAAATAGATTTTTGAAATATTGATAGAAAATTAGGCGGCAGAGAAATAAAATGTCAACTATCAGTTTTTAGATTATGTTATAACCCCGACTTGAAATACAATCTGTATATAAATCTATCTATATAGAAACTAAAAAGTAAACTATAAAACTAGACGACTTCCATAAATGTCACATCCCAAGGGGAGAGGGAGTCAAAAAATTTATGACAATTGATAAAACAAACTATATAGGTAGCATTTATAAAAGCATAAGTTTATTAATCTAAAGAATTTACTCAATTTTATTTTACCATTCTTCCGATCATAATTTTTTTTTTAGATATAAAATTTGATAATCAATTTTAATTTTACGAGATTTTAAATTCATAATTTTAAGTAATTAAGGATATGAAATTAAATTTTATGAGATTTTAAATTTATAATAATTTTAATAATTGAGGAGGTGAAATTTAATTTTACGAATTTTATTTGTGGAAAATGAAAATGAAAAGCAAAAGCAAAAGCAAAAAAAATCATTCCCGTTTTATATTTATGCGCTTGATTTACTTGAATGTGGCTGAAGATAATGAGAAGCCTTTAAATTCAGGCGCGAGGATTTTTCTACTATATACTATTATAGAGCTGATGCCAAATCGTCTCACCGTGGTTTCGCTGCAACTAAAAGCGGTCGGCAGTGATGAATTACTTCTGCGCTAATCCCCCGGATAATCCCCCTACGAATGATCTATCTCGTAAAATGCCACCACTCCTTCCATCACTCGTATCACCTTCCTAACCTTTGACTTTGCAAATTCAAAATATATGCTTTGCTTCCTTTTTCCAAAAAGTGAATATTACGATTGTTTTATTGTTTAACAAGTTTCGAAATGCGGAAATCGTCATAGTTCTTCTACTGTTTCTTGTTATAATGGCCCCCTTGTTCATTAGTGAACCTTTCTTTTTCACACAGGATGAATCGATAAAACGGAAAGATTTTTCTTTCCAAGGCAGAAGTTCGCTTATCGCGAAAAGATTTACGAACGAGTTACTCATACATCT